TCGAGCCCTAAGGACCCTAGTCCACCCCAAACCCGGAGCACCCTCCCTGCGAGGAACCGCCCCGCGAGGACCTGCCCCCGAGCACTCGCGCCAATAAAACTCTCTCCGGGCGGCCGGAGGACCCTCCTCCAAGTCCCACCCCGCACGCGGAGGACCGATCTCCCGAGGACCCGCCCCCAAGGCTACTAATCTGGTGTGGTGCGCGCTTCTGTGCGCGTTATGCCAAGCTCGGGGCGAAGAAGCATCGCCTCACCTCCACCCCCCCACCCCCACCTCGGGTGCCTCATTTCCACCTCCGCACCCGGGCTTTCTCTCTCCAGCTCACCCCGCTTCGACTGCCCTGCCCGGGAGGGGGGTGGCTTTGGGCTGAGTTTTGCCATCGTCTTGGATGATATGGGAACCACACTAGGCCATAGAGTATGAATATCACTCAACCCTTTAATACAGATTGCATTACCCAAAATTTGATTTTGATTTAATTTCACTACATGTCTTTTTACTGCAGGATATGATAATAGAAGCAAAGAATTACAGTCCCTGCCCATAAGAGAGAAACAGGCTGGCCAGGGGCCAGACCTACAGAGTTCCAAAGCAAGGTGCATGGGCAGTAAGCAAGCCAACAAAAATGCCAAGAGATTCCCACAGAGGCAGGGGAAACTATTCCAGACAGAAGGTTGAGGATGTCTGTTGGTCTGAAAGGTGGAAAGGATGGTATATTAGTTTATTATCTATGCAAAATTTAACAAATTCCAGGTTTCCAAAAGACACACATTGAGCAAGCTCAGAGAGAGCAAACTGCACAGAGGTGCCTACCTTCTCTCAAAGGACAATTTCCTAAGCTGAATGCCAGCCCAGAGAAAAGTCACAGGTCACTGCTGGTTGCTGACAGTGGACATTATTGTTCTGTGTGGGTAGGAGAGGCTCAGAGGCATGCTCAGGCAGGACAAGGGGTTGGGGTGAGGGGGGAATTCTAGGGTGGGATGGCACCTACTAGCAAGCTTAGGACTTGAAGAGTGGGAGAAAAGGCTAGAAGTTCCAGAATTCCAAGCCCGATGGGATGAACGCATGTCTGCCACACCTGTGGCGCAGTGTGGTCCGAGGCCCAGCAGCCCCTGCTCCAGCAAGCACTGGGGAGGCATTCCCCACCCAGATCCACTGAAGTGGGCTCTGCACTTGAACAAGATCTTGGGAGGTTCTTGGGTGGCAGCTACCTGCTACCCTGTCAATTCTTGATTGGCAACATCAGCAGGAGAAAAGGCTGGGAAAGCTGGCAGTTCCCAGGTGGAGCCTGAGTTTTCAGCCACAACTTGGCTAGGGCTTCAAGCCTATGGGTAGGCAAGAACAGCTGAGCCTTCGGCTGGAAAGCTTCTTTTTTGGTCCAGCAGCACGGTTGTAAATCTCTCCACTGGTCCTGGCCTGACACACAGCCGTGGGTCAGAGAAGCCTGGGAGGCCCATGGGCGGGCTCTCTCTAGCTGGCAGGTGGGCTCCAAATGGGGCAAACTTGCCCGTCACGGGCTGATTGCAACTGTCAGTTATCTCTGCAAGGCATTCAGAGATTTCAGTGAAATTAAATGTGGAGACTCAGCAAAGCGGCTGGGAATTTGGGGAAGCCTTGTATTTCCACTATGGTCTGCAGGCATCTCATGAAGGACCTGAACCTAAGATGACCTAGATGACCTTGGACATCAGTTTTCATTTGTGAGGTGAATGCTCCAGTGCTTCTCTGGCCTGTTTCATGGCGATATCCTGGCAACCAAAAGACTCATCAGATGAGGCCCTGCTTTGAAATCATTAACCTGCTCTGCCAGTACAACTTGCAGAAGGGGTGTTGTGCCTTCCCAGGGTGAGTGGGCACCTTCCCCTTTAGATGAACTAACACGCCAGCCAGAGGCATTCCTTCCTGTGGTTGGGGCTACAGAGGTACACACTCACATTTATACAGGGCTCACTGCTAGCTTCAGGGAGGGGGAGGGGTCGAATCCTCCTCAAATTACCCATCCAGAATTGGTGCCCGAGCCCCCAGGATCCAAAAGGAAACATGCTGTAGACTCAGGAAAATGTGTTCCCCCAAAGCCCTAGGTGTTCCTTTCAGCTGTCAGTAGCTTAAATGGAAGTAACCGTTGTTTTTAAATCTCTGACTTCAAGGTACATGGTGACTAAAGGCAGTTTCATCAGAAAGAAAGGGGGATTTAATAAATAACAGAGATAAATTGTTTTTTAGATCCTGATAATAGAGAGAAAAAAAGTCAACCTCAGGTGAGTTGCTGAATCAGCAGATCTTGTTGATGGAGAGGATATTGTGACGGAGAAGAGACCATGGAGGTGAGGACACGACAGAGAAGAGACTGTGGTGGAGAGGAGACCATGACGGAAGAAGACCGTGGTGAGAGGTAACCAGGAGACTGTGGAGGGGAGTGTGGAGGGGAGCAGATGGTTGTGGAGAGGAGACTGTGATGAAAGGAGGTGGTGACAGGGAGGAGACTATGGAAGCGAGGAGACCATGGCAGAGAATGGACCATCGTGGGGAAGAAACTGTGACATGGAGAGACTGGTGGGAAGGAAACCGTGCGGAGAAGGGACAGTGACGGGAGGAGACTGTGAAGGAGGCCGTGGGGGGAGGAGAGGAGACCATGGAGACGGATGTGCATAGTACATTCCCAGGGAAATCTGGCCCAAAGATACTTAACTACTTTAGCAAGAAAGTTCAGCAGTATTATCTGTGTAGTGAACTTTTTAAAAATAATTTTGTTAATAATCTTAGAGTATGCACACAAATGGTGCTTTATTTTTAATGAGGAATGGGACATTTGCATAATCTCAAAGTACCTTCCCACCTAGCCATTAACTGCAAAGGGAAATAGTGTAATTTCACAGTGGATGTCTGGCAGACACTCTTTAATAAAGTGATTAAAGTGAATGCCAGTAATGGGATAAACCAAAATTGTTCACCACCTGACTGCATGCAGCAGTGTGTTAATAGTGAGAAAAGCTGTTGGGAAAATATAACATTACCAAATGTAGGTAGCATTTTTAAATAAATACATTTCAAATAAAAGAAAATTATCCATTCCAGCATTCTCTTTCTGATGGTCTCTCCTGCAAATCATCTGTCCTTTTAGGCAGATGAACCTGCCTGTTGAAGAACATAGAGTATGTAAGGAAAGACAGTCTTTCAAGATTTTTATGCTAATCTCAGTAGTTTGAGTCATGCAGCCAAATGATCTGGATTGAGGCAGACTTTTATGACAAAGCAAAGACTGTTCCGGTTATCCTTGAAAGTATACTGTTATTTGCATCTTCCTGTCGAATCTTTTTTATTATTATTATTATTTGCAGTCACTTTCGAAACCAGTGGGATGGAGAGCACAGTATGGATGCCAACTAATCTATCCTAAGGCAAATCACTGCAAGTAAGCAGCTTCTAATTAACCACTCAGGAAGTGGCAAAGACCCATTCTCTTTTTCTAGTGCATGGAAAATAGAGTGTATGATTATACTTGGACCACTTCTTATGAAATAAGGAAGAACTCACCTCCTCCCCGCCATTTTCTAAGTGGGAAAACAGGCAAAGTGGGACAAGAACTTGGCATAGGTCCTCAGATGTGATAGAATAAGGTTAAGCAGTTCATATTCAGAACTTTTTAAGTGTTGAGAAATTAGATTAGGTATATTGTTTAAACTTCAGATATTGTGGGTATTTTGATCCTTATCGGCTCTGACAAGTCAGGCCTAGGGCCCCCCACCCGTGCACGAATTTGTGCACCAGGCCTCTAGTAAAATGAATAAAAGTAACCAAATATTATCTTCCCTGAAAGATGCATAATTTCTCTAAAATGATCTCATGCATTTCCCATTGTTTTCAGAAGTCATCTTCCACAAAACAGCAGCAAACTGCATGAAGCTCCTGTCCTTTTTAGGACCAAAGACACTTTCCATGTAATGATAAGACCTTATCTCTAAATCTGCCTGAAAGCCCCTTCCAGCATTCTCAGGAAAACTGTCTTAAGAAAACTATCCAACCCAGTAAAGCCTTAGTGTTATTCATTGCTACTCTTACTCAGTTTCCACCCTGGCTGAGTAGCTAAGTTGGTTAGAGCATCATCATGATACACCAAGATTGCTGGTTTGCTCCCTGGGGAGGGCACATACAAGAATCAACCAATGAATGGATAAATAAGTGGATCAACAATTCACTTATTTAAATGTTTCTCTCTGTTAAATCAATAAATTAAAAAGTTTTTAATTATTCAATATTGTCGAGTTTACTTTTACATAAATTTAACATTAAAATGTCCATATTGTAGATTGTAAACTGCAAGAAATACTCAGTGTTTCAGGAGACCCCAAACTGTAATTTAGATAACATGCTTAAGTCTGACCAGGTTCCTCATTCCAGACCCTAGGCTCTAGATAATGTGTTTCTGTCAATTCAGTGATTCAGAGACCCAAAACTGTAATTTAGATAACATGCTGCTTCTGCTTCTGTAAACTTTTTTGCAAACCAGGTTCCTCATTCCAAACCTTGGGATGTAATCAATACCTTTGTGATCTTTGCCTATATAAGTCTGGCTTTGCCACCATCTCGTCACTATGAGATTTGGGGAATGGCCCCTCATAGTACCGGATTGCAATAAGTGTGACTCTTTAATTCGACTTCTTGAAGTGTCCTTCTGTGATTCGCAGGGTACATTACAACACACAATCTTAGTTTATGCACAATAAACATGTCTATATGGTTGCTAAAGTTGGTTTATAATTTAAATATTAGTAAAATTTTAAATCTTTATTGGAAAAGCTTTCCTTCTGAAAGAGACTTTTACTTTTGTTTAAAAATAAACAATTGCCCTGCCTGCATGACTCAGTGGTTGAGCACCAACCTATGAACCAGGAGGTCACAATTCAATTCCCAGTCGGATACATGCCTGCA